ATTATGACCCTAAGAAGCAATGTAGTTAAAATGCCTTCATCAGAGTCGTATATTTTCCTTCCCTTGCCCTCGCTGTTTTCTTATACGTTAGAAACTATCCAGTCTGCCCCCGTGCCCATTCGCGTTGCCACAGTAACTGCCTCGTATTCTTGGTCGGTAATCGCTGCCAGCGCGATTGCCATAAATTTCCAACACCTTCCTCTTCTTTCCTGCCACCGGCCGCGCCCTCAGAGACATCCCCATTCACCGCATTCGCTGCCTCTGCTTCCTCTCTGTGGAGCCGCTTTATCATCTGTTATATTCCATCCTTTCAAAACTCGCCGAAGACCTATAATAATCTAATGATATAATCGTTTAAACACTAAAAAATAATTTTGATTAGGGGATCCTCGGCCGCCGGCACGGGGAGGCGGCGCACATGCACTCGGTCTCGCCAACGAAAGTGCAACACAATACTATTTCTCGTGACCGCTTTGAAAGTTAATTTCGCCGTTCCGCGGAAGAAGCTCACAAGAGCCGCTGTGTCGGAAAGGACGAGTTCCCATTCATAGTACCATGAACGTTTCGACCTTGTGGCTAATCCCATGGCGGTATTGTATGACACCGAACCCTTGGATTTAGTCACGTACGTTAATAATTTGTCGATTCTGTTCACTATGGGAATATAACGTGACCCCGTTATCTCGAACCTTGCTATTAACCCGTCCAGGTTGACCAAGTAAATGGCATCGCAAGTAATCCCTATAATCGGTAAAAATCGATTCTGTGATTGTAGACGCAGCGAAGGATTATGACGAACGACTCGGAGACGCAGGGCAGTCACGCACCGACTCACATCATCTTACGGTCGCCTCGCCCGCCGCACTCCGCGCCGCCGCCGGCCCGCACAGCCGCGACCAGCGCTGTGTACATGCAGCATTCGCACAGCGCTGCTCAGAGAGTCCGTACACCATGCGAACACTCTCACGATAAGTATGTGAGGGAGAAATTGAAAGGAAAATAGGCTTTTGGAGAAATTAGCTGAATAGAATAAGCGTGGAAAAAAACTAATTTCTCGAGGAGAGACCACCACGGAAAGAGCCAGGCCGAGACGCATCCTCGCCGATCGCAGCGTGCTTGGAGGCGCGCGGGCGGCCCTCCGTCAGCGTGGTGCCGCAGGTCGTGAAAGCTGGAGAGCCGACTGCAATCGCTAAGCTACTGCCACTCGGAGATCACACAAGCCGCTTGTTCACACGCGAGGCGAGAGAACCTCCCCATTAATCTTCCGTCTGGCTGCCTGTCTGTCTGCTCGCGGAATCCACAGGAATGAAGTTTCGGTGCTTCTCAAGGAGCTCTCTCTCGACGTGGGAATTAAGAAAGTGATGATGACGAACACCTGCTTTCATCATTGATAATTAATCGTGTGTAAATTTACACACATACACACACTGACACGCGCACACCAGCACACACGCACATATATAACCATATACATATCAACACAGACAGCGTTCGGGCATATTTTCCCGCACGCACATGTATCTGCGTGGCCTTGCGAGTGAGCGCGCCCGCGTGCACGTGTGCGAGCGTGTCCTCTTAGCATGTGCGTGTCCAAGTATCCCCCGAGCCCTTCCTAATACCAGCCTTCAACGAGTATCGCTTCCATCCGGCCACGACAGCGGGCGAGCACAGGTATTTAACTTGTCCCGCCCCATAAGACTCATTATCACCTAATCGCCAGCGCAAGTGCTACAATCAGATCAATTAGCCCTGTTTAGACTGGATGATAAATACGCGCGTCTTGGAGCAAGTGGCTCAATCGCCCGTCCCCCTGGCCACTTAAGTTATTTGGGCCGTTTTGTTTAATTGGTGAACTGTCATGGCGCAGGGGTTGGCCGGCTTATGTTAATACCGAGGCGCTGCAGATAACCTGACACCGCCAATTTCGACCCCCCCTTCCTCTCTCGCCCTTTCCAGCTCGTACTCCTCCCCCTTCCCCCTTGCAACCACCCCCTCCTCCCTTCCCCCGCTAGCGTCTCCTCTCCCTCCCTTTCTTTCCCCCTTCTAGCACCCTTCCCCTCCTCCCGGGTTCCCCTTTCCCTCTTCCCTCCTTTCCTTTCTTCCCTTTCTCCCCTCCTACCACCCCTTCACCCCTTCCCTTCCCTCCCCCCCTCTCACAGCCTTTCGCCCTCCCCTCCACCCCNAGATAAGTTGATAATTATCTCAGGGACTATGTATTGTCTTCCTTTTTTTATGGATGGAGAGTGGTGTAATCTTAATATCCATTTTGGTAGAATCGGCTAAAAAAGGGATCCCCCAAAGTTGACTTTACGGTCCTGACCTTGGACCCCCGCCACCAACCGCTCACGCATGAGGAACAGACCATCAGGTATGCCAGAACTGAAGAGAATTAAGAGAGAGGAACATAATGCAGCAAATGTGGGCACTATTGAGCCTGGAGAGGTTCCAGGCTCTCCAAGTCCAACACCAAGTATCACAACAGCGATGAACAGTCACAGAACCTTGCCATAAGATCAAGTGAGTGTGGTCATTGTTGTTGTTATTGTTACTGTATTGTTTGTATTTTTTACTATTTACGGCATTCATTTGCATGTGGAAGAACATATGTTTAGTTGTTTCTTCATCTGTTCATTACATCATACATTCCATTTTATTAATTTCAATTTCTGCGCATAGATAATGAATGGGTCTGAACTTTCTTGCTGTTGCGACTTGTTATAAAGATTACATGTTTGACTATAGAAATGCTCAAAAAGGCAATTTCCCATAAAAAATATAGCTTTATGGAGGATCTTTTTCTGTTTATTTTGAGAAGGTAGGGTTACTAAAAGTTTACTAGATATTTTTCAAAAGCATGAGGTAAGCCTGAAAACTAACTTATCTTTCACAAGAATTCATACATTGTGAGTACGTAACAGGAGGGAAAATAATTTCTATGAGCAAGAGTGGAAACAAAGATCAGGCAAAAAATTAAAACGAGTAACACTAACAACTCACATAATAAGAATATTTAAAAGATGGACGGAAAACAAAATAATTGCAAGATTGGAATGTCCGTGGTAAGTATGAAATCCAAGTCTTACAAGGTACAGTATCACTGGAAAAGGTTCAGAGAGTTTTTACCTGTAAATTAGACATGGCATCTCTGTATTTGGGAGACAATAAAATGACTCAAGCTTTTTTTTATTTATTATTTATTTATTTATTATTATTTACAGATGTAGAGAAAGATACTTCATTATGTTTGTATGTATGTATGGAAGACCATTGAAAACTTGGTCCCAATCCAAGAGGTAGAAGAGGGAGGGGGATCAGAGTAAGACTCTCCTCCAGACGGAGGAACATGCTATTTCATGGTATAACTGCTCAAACATCCTGATTAAAAAATGTGTGGTCAGAATATCTTATTTAATGGGCTAAGATTGGTTTACCCCCTTCAATCCGAATGTTCTACTGCCCGCACCTATTCCAAAATACAGCCATTAGTCTACCGGGTCCAGCTTGTTGGCTTGCCCACACAAACACTCGTATACGGTAACAAGACTCCATGGCTCCCTTTGTAATGTTATTTTTCTTGATAAGCATTTTTAGCTTTTTGGCCATTTTTCAATGTCTATATTTGCCATTAGATTTTCTTTAGCCAAATGGTAATAGAATGTTTTCCTTGCACACTCTCCATATGTGTCTCGTGGCAAGTCTTTCCATCACCCTGGCTTTGAGTCGAAATTCTCATAACGGCAAGTTCCCATCACCCTGGCCCACAACCAAATTTTCCCATCACAGCATGCTCACATCACCCACTCCTCAAATCAAATTTTTTCATGACTGGTCACATCATCTAGATTGTAGGGTTACAAAACAATTTTTCTTTCTTTCTTTCTTTCTGAAGTAACAAATGATTGGTTATTTTTTGTTTTGACATAGGCATATACTAAATTTGCAACTCAGCTTATTTTTATATTTTAGCACATTACAAATACTTGATGTTATCTGTTTTAGTTTTTTATTTGAATTTGTGCATTCAGAAAAGCTATAATAAGGAATCTCTATATTCTTTATATTTAATGTATTTTGGAAACATTGATAGAAAAAGAGAAAATCATGGTGTTATCAAAAGGGTATTACTCCCCTAGTAAAGTAGAACACTGTAAAGCTGGTTTATTGTAACAGAAGTGAGTGTTAACAAATATAGTATGATTAGAAAATAAGCTAACAGATCAGTTGTAGTCTTTGAAAGGGCTTTTTTTTTTATTACTTTTGATATAGTTCTGGCATAATGATTTTCATTCCAGGACCACTTAAATGTCTTATTTCTATTACTTTGTTTCTGAATTATGATAAAGGTAAGGAATATAGACTAACTTCTTAAGCAATATCATGGTATGATTTTAGATACATAACAAATTTTAAAAATATGTATTACATATTTTTAATAGGCTAAAGGGAAAAGACAGTGGTTGACTACACTTATAAATAACTTAGTTTTTAACCTTTATTTCAACACATCATCTTTTTTTTCTCTCTCTCTGTTTTCAGTTTCCAATTTTTAGTTTTCAAGAATTACGCTTATACTTAGCCATATATATTTGTACAAAAATTCTTGTTTTTTTGTGCCATTTTGTAAATGTTCTTGAAATCTTAACCCACTCACGACGGATTTCTCACAAATGAGACTTTGCCGGGCATCCTGCCAGTGTGACGCTGGATCGGAGCTTGTGCTCTGATTCCGTCTCGGGCAGCGGCCAGCACGCAGGCAGATTCCGGGCCAGCCCCACTCAATGATTTTGAAGCCACTCAGAAACCATTACTTTCGGCTTCAAATTATACCATCACTAGTTTTGTTATTACTTATAATCCTTGTAACTGACAATATATACATGCTTTTCTTTTTAGTTTTTTTTTTTTTTTTTTTTTCTTTTTCTTTGTTTCTTTTTTTCTTTTTCTTTTTTTCTTTTCATCTTTTTAGACATTCCTTCCATTATACATCTCCATCTATCTCATTTTTCTTCACAAATATGTTTACCTTCCAGACCGAAAGATCAGAATACTCCAAAGAAGAAGCGGAAGACTTGGATGAGGACGAAGGAGTGGCCGGAGAAGTAATGTCTGGGGAAGAAGAGCAGGAACAAGAACCTGAAGAGGAAGAAGAGGAAGAGGAAGAGGAAGATGAAGAAGGAGCATTAGGGGAGGGGGAAGGCCTCTCCCACGGTGTTCTCTCAGATGTCGAGGATGGCTATGAACAATCTAACTCTTCACTTCCCAATTCTGACATATCCACAGTATGTGTGATGAGGCTTTTACTTAAGCAGTTTTCTCATGCATGTATGGTTGTTTATGCTCCAGGAAGGAGATTTGGGTTGAGGGTATTTACATTGAATATATTATGGATTTTTTTTGTTTTTGTTTTTCTTTTCTTTTCTTTTCTCATTTTACAAGGTGAATTGCTTATCATGCTAAATGGATAAAGTGAATTATGATTATCCTTGAGTGGAAAAGTAGAAGTTATATTTGCAATAAGTTTTTTTTTTTTTTTTCACTGCTCTTAGGACATTTTCTCAGTTTTCAACCATTTCCATATTCTTATTATGCAGGGTCTTGCCTTTGTGCTGAATAAAGTAAAAGCCTATTCCTTTCACAGACGGAACTGCTACAAGTTGATTTGAGTGAGGATGGAACACAGTTCATAATCGGTCCTGGTGGTTTCGGAGATATGATGTCAAGAACTTCGTCACTAGCCGGAGATGATGAGAGAAATGGTGACAAAGAGCAGAAGAAGCCGTTTGTTTGTCCTCTCTGTGGGCAGTCATTTACACGTCGTGACAACCTTGCCAACCATATCAAGGTAAGAAATGGAGAAGACATTGTTGGCAATATATGGTCAGGAATGATGTGTTCTCTCATTCAGGAAATGAATGAAGACTGATCTAAATATATTATTTTATCTTAGTGTGGTTTAATCTTACTCAAACATAAACCATATAATAATTCAAATATGTTTGTCAATTTTGGTTACTATAAAGAAAATTACAACAAATCAAAAGGAGTCAGAGACAAGAGAATGATAGAAATTAAACTTGTATTTGAATCTGTAAAAAGTAATGTTTGATCCAACATGGTTTACTTTCTGTCTTTTTTTTTTTTTTTTTTTTTTTTTTTTTTTTTTTAAGTTATTTTTTTATACTATTCTGATGTTTAAAAATGGTATCCCCAACCTTTTTTACTAAAGTTTGATATTCAGAGGTCGTCAGAATTTATCGCCCCATTAATTACTATTTACTTCTTCTGTTGCCAAAGCTTTGTGGAAATTATTTTAAAAAGGAATAAATAAATGAATAAATAAATAAATCCTAGCTCTTTCATTGCGGGGAATTCCTGCCCAGTTATATGGTGTAAGATGAAATTTTATATATTTTTGAGACATGTAAAGTGAAGAAAAGTAAACTCTAGGAAAGTAAATACATCCATACACATATTCACCAACAACAGCAAAGCAGCATATGTTTTATTAGGCCTATGTGGAAGTGGATGAGAGGGGATCAACTTTTTCATTATCCATATCCTCCAGGTCATGTATATTACAGGACAATTGCTTATCAAGTAGGGAAAGAGAATGATATGGGGAATGGAAAGGAATCATTCACTTCCAAGAATGAATTAAGAATTCTTTGTGTTTTCTTAGTTTCATCAAGGAAATTAGGAAGAAAGAAACAACTCTTGATTCATTCTTTAACCCAATGATGATGGTAATAAAACTTGGTTAGTGATCAGTAAAGTGGGGTGGTTGGTACACATCAATAGTTTCCTCATTTTGAGTCAGCCTCATTTGGTATTTCTAACTTTGCTTTGGTCACCTAATTTTGTACAGCTGGACTTATAAGTAGATGTTTGAAGAAAAAAAATTAATGCCTGTATATCAGAGTGAAACCAAACTGCAGTGATCAGAGAGAGTTAATGGTGTGGGGTATGTCATGCAGAGATATCTACAACCTAGCCCAGTGAAATGACAACATGCTGTCAGTGTTTAATGATGAACCCCTTCCATCAGGAGGATGGGACCATTACATCATAAAAAAGTTTGGCTTGAGGGGTGGGTGCTGTGAGCAAGCTGTTATGGGAAAATTTGGCTGTAGGTTGGGGTGACAGGAACTTGCTGTAATGAAAATTTAGGCTGAAGGCCTTTGTTACAGGAATGATTTGCCATGAGTGCACAAAGCTCTTGGAGGGTGATTAGACTCAGTAGGCTTTTAGGAAGGGGCTTTTACACTATTTCCATCAGTTAACCCATTTATGATGGGTGTCCCTCATATGAGACACCTGGGAAAAAATTGCGGGCGTCCCGCCAGTGTGACGCTGTATTGGGGCTCGCGCTCTGACTCAGCAGCGGGCCGCAGTCGGCACTTGGGCAGAGTCCGGGCCAGCCCCGGGCACTGATTTTGCAGCCGCCTGGAAACTTTTATTTTCAGAATAAAAATTCAAAAATTCAAAATATATCAGCGGTAGTGGGTTAACAAGTGGGAATGTACCATCCATGAGCCATGACTGGAAGAGCACTCGCTCCAGGGTGGACGCTATGTCCACTCTCAGGATCCTATTCCTGCCCACCATGAGTGGCGGCACAGGTTGTATTGCAGAAAATTTAATGTTTGGGGGGGGGGGAGAAAATTACAATGCGACTGTAATTATTGCACTGAGTTATGGACCATTTAGAGAGATGATAGGGAGTTTTTGCAAGGAAAACATTCTTTTACCATCTGGATAAAGCAAGTCAAATGACAAATATAAACATTGCTATTCCTACCATGCCCTTTGGACACCCTTGTTAATCCCTACCTTCCTGAACTGCTATACAACTTCTGACATGCAGCATGTTTAATTATCAACTATCCCAGTCTTTACCCTTTGTACTGTTACACTTTCTAAAGTGCTATATGACCTTTGATGTCTAGCAAATTGATTTTGTTTTGTAACCATTAACCATTATCGAGATATTCCCCTCTTATAAACCATGTTATAATTTATTCCTTTGGGATGTTTTATATACATGATGTTTCATTCTGAGTCACATTTTTTTTGGTCCATATAAACCTGTTTTTGCTGGGAGTGCACTTAATTTTCATTCTATTGATTTTGCCTACATTTAGATGACTTCACATGGGTTTAATTTCCAAGGAGTAAGCATTGATAGCAAATATAGACATTTTCCAATCTCTATATTTGTCATTAATTTGCTGTATCTAGATGGTAATAAACTGTTTTACTTGCACAGACTATATCACCTCTTTAGGGAGTTAATAACTCAGTGTAATAAAAAGAACAATAAGTAAAATTTTGTTATATGTGTAATTTTTGTTTTTCCATATTCAATTTTCTGAAATACAACCAGCGTTGTGGTTACGGCATGCAGGAATATGATCCTGAGCATGGAGATAGCATGCTCTTCGGTGCTCAAAGGCACTACATTTCACTTGTTTATTGATGGAAATAAAGCAAAAGCCCCTTCATAAACACCACATGAGATAAATCACCCTCCATGAGAGTGCTTTGTGCAGTTGTGGCAAGTCTTTCCTGTCACCCTGGCCTTTAGCCAAAATGCTCACAACAGCCAAATTTTCTCATGATACCATGTTCATGTCATCCGTGAAATTTTTACATGATGTAATAGTCACATCATCCAGGCCATAGGGTTAACAGCTATGATTATAATAACAATTATTATCATTATATTAAAAAAAAAAGAGAGAGAGAGAGATCCGGTAGGCCTTAGAAATGATTTCTTGATGATGTCAAATGTTTTTGGAACCAGCTATATTTAAACAAAATTGATAAAACAAAACAAATGTATGTACATAGATACATGTACTGTCCACTGTAGTTCCACCCCATTTTTTCTACTAATATTGATATTTTTATTATTATTATTATTATTATTATTATTATTATTATTATTATTATTATTATTATTATATTATTGACATTATTATTATTATAATGTGAAAAAACTGATATGAATAAGAATGAAAAGAATCTTTCCAAGATTCAAGGTAAAAGTGGGATAGGAATACATAGCATGTAAGTCATGTCATTCATGCATGATAGGTTAATAATGAATAATGAGAACCTGATGTAGACTTATTTGAATTGACAGTATTTATTGAAAATTTACCTTGCTAATCTCATATTTAAGATTAGAACAAGAGAAGGATTAAAATATGTTTAGATTATCATACCATTCTTTTTAATATATCAACGATATGTTTGCAGACCCACACCGGTGACCGTCCGTTTATGTGCCAGTATTGCCACAAGTGCTTCTCAAGGAAGGACTACTTGAAGCAGCATGAACGCATCCACACTGGAGAGAAGCCCTATCCCTGTGACATCTGTGGTCGTGCATTTACCAGGAAAGAAGGACTGACAGATCACATGCGCTGTCATTCTGACTTCCGAGCCTTTTCCTGTGAAACATGTGGCAAGAGCTTCAAGCAAAAATGTGGTTTGCGCTTCCATAAGAGGAATTATAAACATTAACCTGCCATAAAGATCTCCAACACTTAATTCACTGTTCCAATTATGAGGCGGATATGGATAGCCTGTCTCTCAATTAGTTGGATGTGGTCCCTTTAAAAATATGCCAGATAAAGGGCTAATTTATGCCCCTGTACTAAGTTAGGTCGTGCCATTTCCTTTATGTTGAGCACCTAATTTATGTGTTCAGATAGTCAATTTTACCCTGAGCTTTGTCTATGCCCTGGCCAGATGTATATTTTGGGTATATGATTATGGTTAGTGAAATTTCACAACTTGTACATTGCTGCTCACATACAGGGAACTTTGTGTAAATTTGATTTATGTTTTCACTTCAACAGGCTTAATGTATGGCAAAGGTTTTGCAAAATGGAAATTTACTTTAAAATGTTAGATTAATCTCAGGTAGGCTGTATTAATAACAGTGCTTACCTTGGTGGAGTCATTACCTAAAATTATGCAATCCTAATATCAGTTTTAAAATATACTTTATATTCTTACAACTTTTGATATATTTTCTTCATCTTTTATATATATATATAATGTTTAAAAATTCAAATTTATGACATATTGCAGACCTCCTAGGATAAACTTGGAAGTATGTTACTTGTGTATTTATGACTCGCACAGAAAGAAATTGTATGACACCTTTTTTCATGTTTGATACTCTCTCATCTGTAACTACACTTTAGGTGCTCTTTGTGGTATGTTGCACTCCTTGAGTGCTGTTTTCTTGTCTTTTATAAGTTAAGATTAGATGCACCAGTATTTATTTAACTATGAAAATGATTTTTTGTAAAAATAAAAAACAATAAGATTATGTTATAAATAATATATAATTAAGAAATAAAGAAATATGACACCATCTTTTAAACTGTAATCAAAAACTTAAGTCTTGATCATTAAAATTGAGGCTATCAGTGGAAAACTTGTTTAAAGGCAGGAGTGTCACCTTTCATCAACAGCTCTTGTCTCAGGACAACACTTTTTATGGATTTACTTTGATTGTATCCAGACCTGAAATCACAGTTAGAATAAAACAATACATGAAAACAAAACAGAATTTTCTACTAACACTTGATATGAGGGCTATTACATAGGCTTGAGGAAGATAACACAGCAATAGTAAAATTTGAGTGGTCAGTGGTTACAAAGTTGCCTATACTTTCCTCTCCAAGTGCATATTGGTTATAGTATTCTCCCTCTGGGTAAGAAATCCATATAAATATATACATGTACTTCTGCAGGTTCTAAAGTAAAGCAATAACATTGCCCTAAGAGCTTTGGAAAAGAAGATGGGGAAAAGTAAGGGAGATATACAGGAAAAATTTCATGTTTTGGCTGCCTTGATAGTTTTCCACTGAGGGTCTTAGTTTATGTACCTGCAGCTAGAGCAGTTTAGTGTTTTCATTGTCAACATATCACACGAAATAATCTTTGTTCTTATTAATTATCAAATGCCAGTATCTTATTTTTTTTCATGATTACCATCTTATTTCTGTAATACTTTAATATATATATATATGCACTTGGAATCTGATCTCAAATGGAAACGTTCAAGAGGAATGCCTGTGTGAGCACTGCAGTCAATACAGCACAGACCTGTAGTGTTCTGAGGTATTACTTTCGTTTATCATCTTTTTAATGTTCACATCAAGTCTTGTGAGATCCAAATATATAGGCGCTCATAATACATTTCTTGATTATTAATTCTAACCAGTTCTATGTAATTGTTCTTTAACTTGACTGGATGCTCTCAAAAATAAGTTTTAAAAGCCTAGTAAGTGTTTATGCCTGAAAGGATTTCTGATCCAAGGCTTGACTGAACAAAGAGTCAAACAATACTATAATTTTTACAAGAGTTTTAAGCCTTTTGTTACTGGTTTTATACTTTTTCACAGAAGATATTCCTTGTCAGAAAAATGTGCCATTAAATTTTAAGAGTAAATTGATTCTGTTGATGATCAGGAAGCAGCACTTGGGCCATTATATAGTTTAACCTATAATTTCAGATCTTCAGAAAATTCATTGTACAAGCAATAAATGTCAGACATTAACTGTGTATTATATCTAAATAACGGAAATAACAAATGGAGGATTTCTTTTTAAAAGGAAATTCATACATGAATAAAGAAGTTGAATTAAGTAATGATATGGGGGGACTAATATCATGCCATCTAAAACTCAAAATATTTTTGTTTTTCATAAATATTGAATATGACTCCCACCATATTTTTTTGCTGTTTGTTTAAAACTCGATATTCACCTCAAACTCTATCAAAGCCATCTTTAGCTCTAGTCAGTGAATGGTTTTGGCATTCTGAAATTTTAGTGTTGGCTGGTTTGGCCAGGATTTCTGATTCCGAAGATTATTTACTTCAAATTTAGGCTGGAGAACTATTTTGTTTTAAATGCAGTGGTAGGCAGTGTAAGATTTTTTTTTTTTTTTCATGTGAAGCAAGTGGAAGCTTTTTTATTTAAAATTTGAGTTAATGTCACCTTGAGAATTTAACATCATTCTCGTACTGTCAGAATTGATCTGTCCATTTTTCAATTTTTCATTATTTGTGTAAGCTGAACTGGTGCTTTGTTGAAAGTATATTTATGTATGCAAGCTATGACTGACAACAAATATGTTTGATAAGATTTTTTTTTAATTTGATACAATAACATTGACAGTTTAGTTAGGCACAGGATCATCAAATAATTGCTTAGGATTGCTAAGAGACCTAAGTACTGAGTGCCATAAAGCTTGCTGCTGCCCCTCCCAGTCACAGGCCTAGCACAGACTGGTGCCAGTACCTCAAGTCATTTGTCTCTTCTGTGTGAATTATGATACCAAGAAGCCATTTCACACCCATCTTGTATATTGATCACAAGCAGTGCCTATTAAATGCCACATTCTCGGACTTTGAGAAACAAATTTGTCCATGTTTCCTTGCATGTTTTTTTCAAATTCTGACAGATGTCTTTAGTGAAGAAAGGATTCTTGGAAGATTGCAGTTGTTACCTAAGTAGATTTTGGAACTTGGTATTTCTACACATTTGTATCAATGGCAGTTCTACTACTGTGATAATTTATATATTTTCTGATGTTGCATTTCCTATTTATTTCTATTCGTAACGTAGAGAAATATGCTTACAGTACATGTCCATTGATCCTTTAGTATGTGCTGTAGATAAAGGCTCAACTCTTCTTCACTTCACAAAAAGAAAACTTGAATCATTATCTTAGTTCAACCCATACCACAAATCAATCCTTTTCCCATCCTAGTAAACCGTCACTCTTTAGCCCTGCTGCCTTTGACACGTTGACTGAGGATGCATTGTCTTACATCCAGCCACTTGATTTCCCATCACTAGTCTCACAATAAAGAACAGTTATTAAACAAATGGCTTTGTATTTTGTATATAGTATCTTTAAAAAGTTGCCATGTCTAGCTGGTTTTTTCAGTCACTTGTCTTAGTCTTAGAGTAAGATTTCATGTGATAGGTTTAATCTAACATGACCTATTTTGGCAAATAAATTAAAATTTTACAAGGAGCTTTCTTTTATTCCTTTAAGAATTAAGGCATACCTCCAGTTTTATGGTGGATAATGCTTCTCTTAGGTGTGCATGTACTGGCTGTTTAAGAAGAAAGGTGGTGTTGGATGAAAAAAGTAATGGCTTTAAAAAAATGCATGATTTGTTTGATGGATTTTGAGTCTTACAAAATTATAAAGCTAAGAGTTAAGCACATCTGTTATATATAACCTCCTTGAATGCAATATTATCGAAAATTAATTGAGGAAAATGTATTTAAAGATGTATTTATAGACATTATTTACTTTATATTAACCCTACCTTGTTTTGACGAACCCTATTTGAAATAAAAGAAAAAGTAACTAATTTGATATTTCCAAAACATACCGTCACTTTCAGCCAACAAACAGCGTTTCAAATTTACAGCAAAATTATCTACCACCTGGATATTTATTCGCTTTCAGAATATTGAAAACTATTTGCTATGCACTCATCATTTTGAGTTTATGTGCCCAGTGTAATAGAACTGTTGTTAAATTCAAACTAAGAACTTTGCATATTTATTACCGTTTATCCCGCCACCATTTACAAACCCTCTCTTAAAAAAAATAATAATAATAATTTTAAAATGTGTCTTGATGACAGTAAGGCAGGTCAGCGGTTTCTGCAAGGCGTCTCAGTGAAACATACAGGCATACATTGAAAATTGTGACTGGTGATTGTATTCATTCAGGTACGTTATAATCATAATTATGATTTATAATTATTACAACCATAAATCTTTAAAATCGCTTGCGAACGTTGCGAGAACGCTGCCGATCACCACGCAAATATATAAACACTACAAACCTGCGTGAGGTAACGCACGCTATTTTCCAATGCTGTCTAGCCCCCATTCCTTTGCTTATATAGTCACTTTACTAGACATTATTTAAAGCTACAAGTATCAAAGTGTTGAAGGATATGAAAATATAGCAGCAAAAGCCAACAGAGATCAACTGATGCAGCAGAAAAAAGTGCTGTGGCAGTCACAGGGCTACGAGTTTCGACGGTAAGTGTTTTTCCCAAAAAAATCTTTACTATAAAGGTTGTTCGACTTGCTACATATAGCTTCTTGTATAGCGGGAAAATATAGTTTGTTTCACTCAGCCGTATAGCACAAACTTTATTTTGGCCAATGGATAGAACGACAGGAAATACGATTTTCACATATGATATTTCCTTGGCTATTTGTGCAATATATAATGTGGTATGCATTAATAAGAAAATCTAGGAAGGTATTTTTACAGAATACCTTCGCATAATTGATCGCGATAATCTAGGTATCAGTAGATTCCTCTCACTCTCTAGCATCCAAATATATAGAAATTTACTGCGGAAACCACCTAATAGCGATAGCATTGGACCCGATAGCATGGAAGATACCTGGGAAACTTTAGAGTAGAATGTGAATAATATACACACAATCAGTTAGTTTATTGTCTAATCCAGTTGGCTGTGTCCCTACCGCCCGCTACCCCGCAATAGAACCCAAAGGGTTAATCTTTCGGTATAGACGCACTAAGGAAGGCCAGATTGTAGATAGCATTCTTGTAGAGGACAAAAGGTTGCAGTCGTCGGTAAGAAATAATCTGCCCACACGAAAATATGGGAAAAAGATTGTGGAAAGGCTACTTCCAGCCGGAGTCCAC